GGCGTTGAAGCCGGTCAGGGGGGTTGCGTGGCCTGTGAGTGAATGAACTGGAGTGCCTGGGGAGTAATTGACCAACGTAGAGACCGGGAGCCTTTCTTCCGGTGTTTCCTCTTTATAACCTCACTTCTGGGATTTTAAAAACCAGGAACCCCTGCAGGTTCTTCTGTTGCCCCATCGCTTCTGGGGTGGGGTGGGGTGGGGTGATTGCCACCCTGCCTTCAGGATCCGATGGGCTCCCAGTTGTGGTCTTACTTGCTCTGCCACCAGTTAGACTTTTCCTGGGTTGTTCTTAAGGCGATAGAGATCATCAGGCTAGGCTTCAAAGTGATAGCCATGTGTGTCTGATGGGATTATACGCCCTGACACTTGTGCAACCTTGAGAAAGCTGCATGTCCCGGAAGACCAGCAGAAGGAAGGACTGGGAAACCATCCTTCAGTATTTTATACTAGAAAACACTTTGTGTGAAGTGATTTGAGTTTCTGCGAAATCCAGGACTCTTCTTTATTGCAGAATTTCTTTATATAATAGAATTTCTCACATCCTTTTACAGCACAGACTTCAATGAAATTACCTGTGTATTAAATACACTATCTCCCCATTGATTTTCTTACCAACCAACTATAGTCTCTATATTTTGATCTCTATATTTTGATGCAATGTATAAATATTTGTCCTGTTATATCTCTTTCTGTTATGTCTGAGGAAGTGGACTTGCCCACAAAAGCTCACATAAAAATATGCAACAGTCTCGAAGGTGCCACTACCTTTTTGTTCTTTCATTTTTTTATTTTTATGTTTCTACCTATAATGCTTGCACAGATTAACACAGCTACCTCTTCTACAACTACAACTTGAATCTCATACTTATTATTATTTAAATAATAGGTTAAATTGTACACAAAGCATGGAACCCTGAAATATCAAACAGACTGTGCTCCAAATAATGGTTACTTCATGATTCCTCTATATGATAAGGTAGGTGACAATGAAAGGCCAGAACAAAACAATGAAATCTGTCTTCATACTGTTGCATTTCTCTATTGTTTGCAAGCTGTTTAAATCTGAAGAGTTCAAAGATGTATAAATCAACAATATAAGATATATGTAACAATGCAACACTAAAACTCAGTGTTTTGGTAGGTTGGATTACCTGGGGACAGCTTGCAAAAATAGGTATGTTTTTAGCAAATTGTTGGAGTACATTGAATGTCAGAGGGAGGAATATTCCCCAGAGTTGGATGGCCAGTTCCGGAATAGAGCTGGGAGGCATGTTGCAAGGCCTCTTCAGATGACCTCGGGGACCAGGCAGGTCTATCAGCTTCTCACTTCTTGAACACGCCTCTCATAACGTTATAAATGATTCTGTATGTCATTTTCCTGACTTGATTGCCCATAAATACTGCTCATAATCATTTGTGGCTTAGTAGAAAAAGGTAAGCGACATTTGCAAAGACTTTCAGAATGGTAATCATTTTATGGAAGCAAAAACAGGAAGATCACCTGCTACAGTTGTATCTTGACTTACGAACTTAATCCGTATTGGAACGGCATTCGTACGGCGAAAAGTTTGTAAGTCAAGGCAAAATTTCCCATAAGAATGCATTGAAAACCATTTAATCTGTACCGGCTGTTTTTCGTTCTTATGTCAAGGCGCTGTTCGCAAGTAGAGGCATTAGTTCCCATAGGATCTAATGCAAACTGGTTAACCGTACTCTACCACTAGGGGGAGGATTTTTTTATTTTTTTCTTCTTTTGACCTAAGATGAACTTAGGTAAAAAAAAAAAAGGCAGGAAAGGATTTTTTTCGTTCGTAAGTCGAGGCTCCGTTCGCAAGTCGAAGCAACATTTTGTGAACGGAGCCATTCGTAACTCGAAATGTTTGTAAGTGGAGACGTTCATAAGTTGAGGTACCACTGTACCTGTGAGGGTAGCAATTTCATACAGTCTGGTTCTCGCCTTTGGCTTTCTGGATGTTTCAGTTTTCTACTCCCTGAATCACTAGCCGCTACTCATGCTGGCTAGCACTCTGGGAATTCACAACTGAAATGTCTGGAGAGTAAAAGCTTTACTACCTTATAATGTAAGGCCATGTGTTCTAGAAAAGTGGCCATCACCTTTGTCAGACCTAGGATCATCTGTACCCCAGGTACACTTTTAGTGACACTTGTCTTTGTTTTCCTCAATGTACAATATGTATTTTGTAGGAATGTCATGGCTGTTGCCACTTACTTCAGCTCAGGCTCCAGATGCTGCTAGACTGCAGTTCTCACCACTTTTAGCTAGCATATCCAGTGGTAATCAATGGAGGAATTCAAATTCCTATAGTACCTGTAAGCTTCACATATTCTTGATTGATGATAGTTTCCATGTTATCTGTCTCATAGAAGTGAATGATGGACACTGGGCTCCCCCCCCCTTCTGTCAGTCTTTTTATTCTGACTATTATTCAACAGAGCCACAATGTTGAGTTTATAACACCTGAGCAGGGCTTTTAATGACATTCCATTTTTGAAGTCACTAATTTGTAGAGTCCCGGTAAGTCAGAAGTGAATTGATAGCACATAACATTATTCACTGATGGCTGTGTTCTACCTTTCAAACCTGCCAGCTTTGAGTTCCTACTTGGTCACTTTACTCAAAAAGACAATGTAATGATGTGGTGGAAATTGGGTTCCCTCCCCTGTTGATTAGGACTGGCCTTGAGTGAAAAGTATCTGAGCTTGTAATGTGTTTCCTGAGGGGAAATTGAGCAACATAATAATGACCTATGGATAACACTGTGTAATCTGCAGCACCTGTGTCTTAAGGCTTAAACGATAGCTCCCTGTTCTTTGTGAGTGGATGTGGTTTCTTTGAAATATATCCCAAATTGATTGGGAAAAACTGGTGTGTCTTGTACAGTGAATAGTAGATTGTTGATTGTTTTATTTATGACAACTCTGAAAACTTCTTACTTTAAATTCTGTAAATACAGATGTTGATGTCTGTGTTCCTGCATTTCAGAAAGCAGGGAACCTTACAAAAAAAAACCCTTTGATTTAAAGTAAAAGGCTAGTGTAGAAAGCAAAGAAATAAAGATCATGCCTCAGTCATTTTTCATACTCAAAATGTGACTTCATGGAGGTATCCTTCTTGTATCTTAACATCTACTCCATGTAAACACAAGAGGTGAACTCCAGTTTTTATTTGTCTGAAGGGAATAAACCACTGCTGACTCAGTCCATTGAACACAAGGACCCTTTTACAGATTCCATTGTATTGAATTGGAGTAGCAAAGATTATGCAACAGTGAATACGTTTTCACTAGAAATCAGCTGCCTGTAGATGTTTCATTTATCAAACCCTGTATTTCATTGCAGCTGTTTCACATGATTAGTATTGCCCTTTATAGTGAGTGTGTGGGTAGTGGGATTATGCTATAATGTTTATTTGGACTGGAAGTTAAGGTACAAGAAGGGTATATATTGTGAGGGAGAGGGTGATCAGTAGTTTGAATTTCCTTGATAAAAAGTAAGGGAATTTGGAGTAGAGGTAAGCATTCCTCTATGCATCCCCACTCAAGACACAGACTCATTTATGCCCCCTTCAAAAACCTAATAACTATGGGGGTAAAACATCAACTGTAGCTTTTTGATTTAGACCAAATGTGTATTCTTCTGTTTGAGGAATCTGTATTTTAAGCTTTTGAATGGCAAATGAAGACTAAAAACTAAATGAAATGTATATTTTTTAAAAGTAAAAAATCAGAAAGTTTTGAAATTTGCAGAATGTATTGTAAATGTGAAAAAGGAAGTTATTTTAGCAAAGAAAACTGTTGGACTTTGTTACAGTTGTAATAAATATTAATGGCTGTTTTTTTTTTCTTTTTAGGGGGATTTTGTCCTTAAAATTGAGCCTCCCCTAGGGTGGAGTTTTGGTATGTACTTCTTTTAGATCAGGAGTTCTTAAATTTCACAGTCACGCTCTTCTCCAAGGATGGTGGGCTAGGTTGCCTGCAACACTAATCATGCTCATGAGCGTGAGGGTGACCTTAGCCCTAACCTTCTCTGCTTCTCTTTCTTCTTCCTCCTCTAGTGAAATTCTGAGATGGGCAAAAAAGCAAAGTGTGCTGCTTATATACCACCCCATAGCACTTAAAACACTCTCTGGGTTGTTTGCAATTTAAGTATGCAGACTACATTGGCCCTCCAGTAAGCTGGATACTCAATTTACCAACTTTGGGGGGATGGAGGGCTGAGTCAGCCTTGAGCCGGCTATCTAGAATTGAACCCAGGTTGTGAGCAGAGTTTGGGCTGCAGTACTGCAGTTTAACCACTGTGCCATCAGGCTCTTCTGGCACCTCAAAGCAGCTAACACTAGAGCACCCCTGTGGAAATGTTCACTTAAACATCAGTGAATCTTATTGTATCAGACAAAACCAAAAGGAAAAAAAATAAAGAATATAAAAACTCTGTTGCACCAAAAAAACACTAACTGCTATATTTTAATATGAGCTTTTGTGGACAAGGCTACTTCCTCGTACACAAGAACCTGTCCATAAAAGCTTTTATTAAAATATAGCAGTTAGTCTTTAAGGTGTCACAATGTTTTTATCTTCTTTATATTTTTTTCTTTTGGTTTTGCCTGATACGCTAGCACAGTCTAATACGGCTACCTCTTTTGAATCTGATTGGATGCTTTTAAGCATAAAGACAGATAGTCATGTAGGTCTTGGAGAATTCTGCAGCTCCTTTCCCAGCAGTTCATCAAAGGGTGACAGAGCATTAGTGTAATGTAGATACATGAATTATATAGAATAAGCCTGGAGAATATAAAGACTTCCAGATCTTGTTGGAATGCAATTCCCAGCATTACATACAGTGGACCCTCTACTTACAGAATTAATCCATATTGGAACGGTGGCTGCAAGTTGAAAAATCTGTAGGTCGAATGTCCATTGACCTAAAATGCATTGAAACCGATTAATCCCATAACCAGCAGTTTTTATTCTATTTTTGTTCCATTTTGGTTTTTTTCTGGTCTGTAAGTCGATTCTCCAGCTGCAAGTCGAATCTAAATTTTGCGACCAGAGAAGTCTGTCACTTGAAAAGTCTGTAAGTTGAGCCGTCTGTAAGTCGAGGGTCCACTGTACCATTATGGGTTTACAAGAAGTGAGATCCAGCAACAACCAGAGTATTGTACTTTGCCCATCCTTGGTGTAGGGCCTCTGAAGCCAAGTCATAAAAGCAAATTCATACATGTAAAAAAAACATATGTTCCCTCCTGAAGAAAACCTGTTGTATCCACCTACAAAACTTAAGAAATTTAAGAGGTTATCAGATTAGAACATACAATTAATTGAACTGAAACAGCAAGTTTGTATTGATTTTCTTTGGAATAAGTCAGTAGGACTTGCTTCTGAGAAGACGGGTGTAACATTCTGTTGTAAACCAGGTGAGAATTGTGTGTTGTTGGTTTTTTAAATGAAGGCTACAATCTTCTATGCCCTGGGAAATATGTGGTGCTCCAGATGCTGACCCGCAGCTCCTTGCAGCAGCTCCTTTTGCCGTCACGGTTAGATCTGATGGGAGTTGTGGTCTGTCAAGTCTTCCCTAATCCTGCTGTATTATTTAGGAACAACAACTATCGAACTCATTGGGGTTCACTTTTGAGCGTGATTATACTATTTCCTGATTGGTGTTTACTTATGTAGACACCTCGTGGAGTGTAGTGGATAAAATGATGAACTAGGAGTCAGGAGGTGGGATTAGAATCCCTGCTCAGGTGTGGAGACTCACAGGTAATGGTGGGACAGGTAAAGCCACTGCTCAAATATCTCGCTTACATTGAAAGCCCTATTAGGGCCACTTTCAGTTCTGACCTGATGGCATATAATATTTATTTCTGTAGCAAAGCCATTATGGTGACAAATCTTAGCTTGGTTGCCTGACATTAAGTTATATTGCACTCAGTGGTTCTCGATTCTGAGCAGACCTGCTTCATGTAGCATTTCAAGTGGTCCACAAGATAAGGAACCTAAACTTGTTATTATCGTGAATCTGTCAGAAATCTACATGTCCTATTAAGAAATTGTTTAATTTTCATATTGTTTTTTTGCTCCCAGAGCCAACAAGTGTGGACATCCATGTGGATGGCATCAATGACATTTGCACCAAAGGAGGTGATATCAATTTTGTCTTTACAGGATTCTCTGTAAATGGGAAGGTGAGGCTTCTTCCCTGATACAGTCTGTTGTTAGCCTTTTAAGTACCTGTCTAGACCTAAGATTAATTTGAGAGTCAAGGACTGGAAACAAGAACCTTTTGTTGGTGGCCTCATCCTCTTGGGATATCTGCAGCAATGTAATGGTAAATTTGGAACTGCAGACACCTATCTTGACAGTCTCTGTAGTCAGCCCAACCCCATAAGGAGAACCCAAAATGGAGTTTGCTAGATTGGTCTTATCAACAATTGAAGAAACCAGTGTTCTGTAAAGATAATGGCTCCTAATTGCCAATTTAGGACTAAACCATGTCTCATTTAACAAGTAACTATGTTTTGTTCCTGGATGAATCCATTTCTTCCCATTAGGGCAGTAGCTAAGCTCAGCGAGAACAGAGAAGCTGGGACTGGGGGCAAGTGATTCATAGCCCCTATCATTTGGGGAATCCTGGGGCTTTTACCCTTGTGAGCTCTGGCTGGTTTGCACCACTGTATACAGGCTTGGCATTTTCTTACCGTTTTTTTAAAAAGTTATTGAAAGCCTTTTCGTTTTGCCCCATTCTGGCTGAACGTTCTGTGTGGGATTCCTCTCTCCCTCTTTTCCTCTATTTCTTTTGCTTTTTTATATTAATGTCAATCAGTTTTAAATTTTGCTGGATTTTTCTACTGATCATGTTGTGCTAAATCACAAAATGTTAGTTTTCTAATTTTGATTAATTTGATTTTGTCTGTAAGTTTAAATTTGTATCGAATGCATCCAAGGAAGGCTTGGGCTCCAAAGTTGGCATAGAAATGCTGATACGTTTTTTAAAAAAAATGAAGAGAAAGTGGCTGCCACACTGTTTCCCTGGAAGCTGAAATACCATGACCTTAATTTTCTGCAGGTTCTCAGCAAAGGTCAAACACTGGGCCCTGCTGGAGTTCTTGTTGCACTGAGGAATCCTGGTTCAGGAGTGAATATGCAGGCTACAATCACTCAATCTGGAGGAAAGTGAGTTTGCATTTGTTTTCAGGTGGGCAGCAATCTCGAAACTATCTAATAAGCTTTGGAGTTGTTGCTGAGTTCATTGGTTCCTTTTAAAATGTACATCCTGCTATTTGACCACAAAAAGCTCAAGGGGGCTAAGAATAATAGACTACAAAATGAAAACAAAATCTCTGTTCAAACCTATTCTTAAAAATACTATTTAATGTCACATACTGTTGCTTAATTTAAAAATAAACTAAAAATGCAGTTGAATAAAACAGACATAGTCGGCACCAAACCAGTTAGATTTCATTCAACAAGAGAGGGATTTACATGCCAATGTGTTGCCTGAATAGAAATATCTTTGTCTGTTGGCGGAAGGAGAACAGAAAGGGAGCAGAGCTAACTTCTTTTCCAGAGTTTCCAGAGTCACGGAGCAGCCATGAAGAAGGCCCTGTATAAAGTATTAGTGTGATATGCCTTGGGGAAGAAGAGGGTCTTTTCTTTAATTTTAATTTTTTTATTAATAAAATCAATCCATGTATTAAACATCATGATACATGGGTTCAGCTTTTACTCATTTGTTGATACAAATTAGTGCCTAATCTCTACACCACGTTTCTAACCATTGATAGAATAGATTCCATGTTTGAAAATATTCTGAGTCTTCCTCCTCTTTAATTTTCAATGTAAGTCTGACCATTTCCGCACAGTCCAAAATCTTCTTAATTATTTCTTCATCTGTAGGTATTCCTTCATTTTCCAGTGTTGTTCCAGTACAATCTTAGCTGCTGTCAAAATATGCAATGTTAAATAAACATTTTGTTTATCAAAATTTTCTGATATTATACCTAATAGAAACAGTTCTGGCTTAAAGTCTATATATTTTTTTAACATTTTAACAAGCCATGTATGTATTTTAATCCAAAAGTTTTAAACTTTATTGCAAGTCCACTATACATGATAATAAGTACCTGCTTTTTTATCACATTTCCAACATTTATTAGACATATTAGAAAACATTTTAGCTAATCTAGCAGGTGGTAGGTGTCATCTAAAAACCATTTTATATAAGCTCTCTTTATAAGATGTCGCCGTTGTCATTTTATAGTTTCTATTCCACATCTTTTGCCATTCTCTAATTCAGTGTTATAGCCAAAGTTTTTTGCCCGTTGAACCATTGTTTTTTTCACCTTTTCATCTTCCATTTTCCAATCTAAAAGAAATGTATATACAGTGGTGCCTCGTATTACGAGCGCACCGTATAACGACGAATCCGCATAGCGACCCCTTTTCCGGGATTGCTAATGCGGAGGCATAGAGTCGGCCCCAATGGGCAAAACTCGCTTACCGATCTTCCATGTGGGGGGCCCGTTGGAAGGAGCCGCCGCCGCCGCCGCCGAGAGAGTGATGCGGGGCCGTGCTGACCGGGGAGAAAAGCAGGCGGCGAGACAGGCAGGCGGAGGGAGGGAAGTGGCGCGCGCTCGTGCGTCCGCCTCCCTTTCCCTCTTCCTCCTCCTCCTCTTGCCCTCGGGCGATCGGCTGTTGCTGGACGCCCGAAATGGCCGCATGCGTTTTCGCGCCCTCCCCTCGCTTACCGAGGGCGCGAAAATGGCTGCCGGACCCCGGGCGCATCGCTGAACGGTGAGTTTTGGGCCAATTTGGAACGCATTAAACGATGTTTAATGCGTTCCAATGGCTTTTTTTGTCCCGTTCAGCGATGTTTCGCTATAGCGAAGGTTAATCCAGAACGGATTAACCTCGCTCTGCGAGGCACCACTGTATTTTCTTAAATAATCATCTGATGTCAACATTATTTGATCAAGTATTATATGTTCTTTATAAAAATCATACATTTTAAAATCCCTTTCATGTCTAGATTGTATTTGCCTTAAAGGCCACCAAGATGAACCCAAGCCAGGAAGAGGGTCTTTCCTTGAGAAGCCCATAACAATGGACAGGCTCAAGTAGAGAACTGGATTTGGTGTAGCTTTTGGGCATATAACATTTGGACCATGGGCTTTGCTTCTCCCAGCTTCTTCTCATCTTGCTCAGAGTGACTGAGATGGATGAAAATGGAGGAGATGGAACAGTAGCTCAGTGGCAGAGTTAGTGTGCAGAAGATTCTAGGATCTGCCTCTGGCATGCCAAGACCAGCAGCTGATGGAAGGACTCTTCTGTGCCTGAAATCTTGGGACGGCTGCTGTCAGTCAAAGCAGGCTAGATGCACAAGTAATATGGCATGTTATGAAGCAGCTGCTTCTGTTCTGTGAAATAAAAGCTTCCACTTAAGAGAGTTGTGATTTCAGCTGGATTGAAAAGGAGTTTCCCAAACTCTTCTTCTCTGCTTTTCTTACCCTTCAGTCCCTTTCTACTACTGATTCATGGTTGTGGCTGCTTGTGTTAAACCAGAGTTCTCCATTAACATCTGAACTGGGGATTTGTTGGTTATTGTTGGCTTAATAAACCAGGAAAACAAGCCAAGATGTGAACAGGAGGGAGTGAAAGTTGGAGAGAAAGAGTGCCCTGTTCTAAAGCTGATTCATAGCTTGGTAAACCACAGTTTTAAAAACCTTGAACTGTTGTCTGAACCTCATCAATATCAAAACTGACTCCCTAAATCTTTATGTAGCCACACCATGTGAAACAATTTTACTTTTCCTGATCCAAACCGAGCATGAATTCTTTCTGCTGCTGAGCTGTTGTTTTTTTGTTTTGCTTGGAGCAGCCATTTCAGACTAAAATGGCCATACTAGATGAGAAGGAGGGGTGTTGCTGTACAACAGCAACAGTACAGATCCGGGATGGTCCATTTAGAAAGATGACAGAAATGCTTATCAAGCGTCATTCTGTTTCTAAGTCATTCTTATCATTCTCATTCTTTAGGTATGCTTTTTTTAAAGTGCTTCCTGGAGAATATGAAATCTTTGCTTCTCATTCTACTTGGATTCTGGAAGAGGTAAGCACTGTTACAATATGCTGAATATGAGCCAATAGTGCAATGTGACTGCAAAAAAGGCAAACACCATTTTAGGCTTCGGTAACAGAATTATAGTTTCCAAATCTCGTGAGGTACTAGTTGCCCTTTATTTGACACTAGTTAGACCTTTTCTTCGGTACTATATTTAGTTCTGGACACTAGACATGAAGAACGATGCCAACAAACTGGAACAAGTTCAGAGGAGGGCAACAAGGATGATCGGGGGACTGGAAACCAAGCCCTCTGAGGAAAGACTGAAAGGATTGGGCATGTTTAGGCTTGAGAAAAGAAAATTGAGGGAAGATATGATAGCACTTTTCAAATACTTGAAAGTTCATCATACAGAGGAGCAGCAGGATCTGTTTTCAATCATCCCAGAGTGCAGGACACATAATGATGGGCTCAAGTTATAGGAAGCCAGATTTAGGCTGAATATCAGGAAAAATGTCTAACCTGTTAGAGCAGTATGACAGTGGAACCAATTACCTCAGGAGGTGATTAGTGTTCCAACGAGAAAACTGGACAACCATCTGTCAGATAGGCTTTGATTTGGATTCTTGCATTGAGCAGGAGGTTGGACTTGATGGCCTTATTAGTCCCCTTCCAACTCAGTGATTCTATGATTTGATGAAAGGCTGCTTCTCTCACCCCCAAGTACAAGGAAATGCTTGAATTGTCATTGGGCAGTTTCCTGTTCAATATTAACATGTATGTAACTCCCACCTGTGGAGGTTTCTGTGGCGGCTGGATGATGTACTAGTTGTGTGTGGTTCCAGGTCCTGTTGCACCACTGTGACAACTTCTGCAGTTCTCCACATTGAACAGGATGCTGGTCAATAACATTTTGCATTTAGAATAATTGCTGCAGTAGCAACAGAGAAAATACGTAAACTGTTATCGTGCTTCAGTGGCCACTGACTGTCAACAGTGCTCTAATAGGTTGTAATTTTGAACAGTGTTGTGCAAGCTTTCTGTAGATTGGTGTCCTGCAAGCTGGCTGTATAGCTAAGTGAATTAATTGTTTATTTAATTTTTATTTATTTATTTAGAGTTATACCCCACCCATTTAGTGAACATGCCACTACTCTGGGTGGCTTACAAAATATTATTAAAACCATATAAAACATATAAAAAGAAAACAAACATACAAACCCTACTCTCCCCATAAAAATTAGGTATTTGGCTGTAGAGCCAGAGGTAGGGGGTTCACCTACCCACTGTGCCTCTAGGGAGAAGAAGCAAAGCAAAGTGTGTATCTTATATATCATCCTATAGTGCTTAAAGTTCTCTGTGAGTGGTTTACAGTTTAGTTATGCAGGCTACACATTGTCATCCCTAACACCCTCCCCCCCAGTAATTTAGATACTCCATAGACCTCAGAAAAATGGAAGGCTTAGTCAACCTTAAGTTGGCTACCTGATCCTGGGATGGAGCTCGAGTTTTGAGCAGAGTCTTGGCTTATCTTTATGTTGTCTGGTACGGTTTCTTTTAAATTTTGTTTTATATTTGGAATGTAAGCTGCCCAGTGTAGATTGATCAAATCTAGATCAGAGGTAAAAGCCAGAAAAATAAATACAGTGGTGCCTCCACTTACGATCATAATCCGTTCCAGAAGATGGACGGAACTCGAAATGGTTGTATGTTGAAGCACCATTTCCCATAGGAATGCATTGAAATGCAATTAATCCATTCTGGCCAAAGGAAAAAAAATCCCACCAAAAAATCCCTGCAAGACTAATTGGAAACGCGATTAATCCCTTCCAGCCAAAGGGGGGGGGAAGAAAAGCAATCAGGCATGCAAGACCCATTGGAAATGCACAGAAAACAAACGGAGCAGATTGGAAATGCACAGAAAACAAACGGAGCAGATTGGAAATGCACAGAAAACAAACGGAGCAGATTGGAAATGCACAGAAAACAAAGCGGGCAGGTCGGAAATGCAAAGAAAACAAAGGAAAAAGCAAGGGAAGCATGCAGGACCCATTGGAAATAGGGACAAAACCCAAAAAGCAACCAAACCTCCCAAAACCCATCAGAAATGGGGGGAGCCAAAAAAGTCTCCAAGACTCATCGGAAATGGGGAACAACCCAAAAAGCACTAAATCCCCAAGACCCATCAAAAATGGGGGGAAAACCGAAAAACAAACAAACCCACCCCCCCAAGACCCATCACACCACAGAAACATAACCCCCTCTAGCTCAAAACCACGCTGCAAAAACACCCATAACAGTTTTTAAAAAGCAGAAAATAGCACCTTACCTTACAAGGCAGCCAGAAGCCTCCCTGCAAACACACACATACGCTCTCAGAAGCAGAAGGAGGCAGTCCGAAGCCTCTGACGATGACGCACACTCTCTAACTGTTGGGGTGAAAGAGCTACAAAGAAGCAGGCTCTTTTGCTACCTACAGCTAACAATTTGAATTTCCCGCCTTTTCCCCCTGCCTTTTTCTCTTTGTAAGTGGAAGCTCCGGTCACAAGTAGAAGCAAAATTTTGTGGCCAGAGCTGGTCGTAACTTGAAATGGTCATAACCATTGCAATAATTTAAAACAGCTTCCAAACATTGTAAGACACTTTTACAGGAGCGAAAAAGGACTTCGCAAAGCCATTGAAATGTATTGAGTCGGCTTCAATACATTCCAATGAAGGAAACATTGTTTCACACAGCGATGTTTCCTATGGGGATTTTCACTCAGCGATGGCAATCTGTTCCAATTGGAACGGATTAACCGGTTTTCAATGCATTCCTATGGGAAATGGTGTTTCACAGAACGATGTTTCACACAACGTTGATTTTTTTGGAACCAATTAACATCGTTGTGTGAGGCACCACTGTATAATTTATTTGACAAATTATAGATGACAAATAAATGACATCATTTATTCATAGTAGATGAATTACTTAAATAAATAATAATTATTTATTTAAGTAACATCAGTAATTTATAGTCATAAGAATATTATTGCATGAGAGCACTGCTAGCCTGCTTGCATCTTTCTAATGCCTTCTTTCAATCCACAGCAAGAGTGATCTGAGTCCCTTTATTTTATTTAATCTTCAACACATCACACAGTCTTGGTATTTTATATCTTTGCCTGTTTCTGCGTTTCAGGCCAAGACAACTGTGCGGGTGACCACCTCCAATGCTTATGCCTCTGGTCCTCTGATTGTGGCAGGTTACAACGTGTCAGGGTCTGTTCGAAGCGATGGAGAGCCCATGAAAGGCGTTATGTTCCTCCTTTTCTCCCCTTCAGTGACCAAGGAGGTTTGCTTTTTCTCCATTGGAAAAGATCTGGTGGTTTTGTAACACTTGAAATTAAATGATAAGTTTTGTTATCAAGCATGTTTAAGTGAAGTTTGGGGAATATGACAACAGACGGAGAGAGTGGTAGAGTCAAGGCTATACTATTTCAGAGTGCAGATGGGAGAATGCCATTGCTAAATGCTTTCTTCTGTAAAAGTCTCCCTGCAAGGCACACATCAGGGAGAGAAAGTGTGCTTTGAATTCCATAGAGCAGGGGTCCCCAAACCCCGATCCACGGCCCATGGCCCAGCTCTGGCTTCCCTGCCTTCCTTGCACAGCCGACTGTTCAGCCGCTGACGCGTCATCCCGTCTTCTTGCTGGAGTGGTTGGCTGTGTGGGGAAGCCACAGCTGGGCTACTTCCGTAATAGGCGCAACACAAATGATGATGGCTGCGCGTGGCAAGAGCTAAGTGGACCGGCCGATTCTGGGGAGAGAGCCTGGTTTCCCCAGGCAGCTGTGGTGCTGATACTCATATTTGTATCCCATCACTAGTCCTGCCCATTACAGGTCTCAAGAGAGACCTGTCAGAAAAAGTTGCAGGGTAGACTGCTTTTGTTCCAGTTCCTAGCCAGGCATTCCATTTTGCTCCCCTCATCCCCTAGTCAGCATTCTGTGCTAACCGAGCATGCTCACTTCTCATTGGACTGTTTCGGGGACTACCTTGTTCTGCCCCCCTCCTGGTTATTAGTACATCTACAAAGCTTGGAGTTCTCTCGGAGTGGTCATTGATCAATCCTTTCCTTTAAATGACTTGGGCTACTTAGGATAAGGATCTACGCTTATTAGTTCGGGTTGTAACCCAGCCTTCCTCCTAACGTGTTCTGGCTGGTGTCACTGGCTCCCCTCTTACCTTTTCATCTTTGCCACAGTCCTCTGAAGTGGGCCAGACTGGCCAAGAGTGACTGACACAGGGTCACTTAGTGAGCTTTGTTGCTTAGTCAAGACTCTCACAAATTCTACTGCAATACTCTGCAATCACTACACCAGTCTAACAGATCTATTAGTAAATAGTGATAAATGGAATTCTCATGTAAGTTTGCTGCTGATCCCAGCACTGGTCATAACGGATCTAAACCCAGATTAAGCCAAATGCTGGTAAAGTTATTGCTTGAGATGACAACTTCTGGCATCCCCAGCCAACGTGGCCAGTGGCCATAATGACTGGTGAGACTTTTAATTCCCAAAAGTGGACCTTGAAAGGTAGAAAAATGCCATACCTCTTGTTTAAGTGGGGTGGGATGCTCCTTCCTTGCTTTGATTTGCATGGATTGAGCCACTTCCACAGTGGAACCCCAATTCTGTGGTCAGTGCTCAGCAGGATTATTTGAGTCAGGATATACGAGTAGTGATGATTGCCTGTCTTCCTTTGTCCAGGACATTTTGGGCTGCAACACCTCACCTGTGGAGGGTTTTTCTGCAAGGGACAATTCTCTTGTCTATCTCTGCAATGTCATCTCCAAAGAAGATGGGTCTTTCACTTTCCTGTCTTTGCCGAGTGGAAAGTACACTGTGGTGAGTAAAGAGTGAATCTTGTTGGTCATCTGCTCTCAAGTGTTATCTGGCTGGTTGGCAAGCATTGAAGAACAGGAGTTAAAGTAAAGCAAAGCAAAAGTAAGCCAGCCAATTTGGCACCAAGGCATTAAGCAGCCTAGAGTGGTCGAAATGACTAGACAGGCGGGGTATAAATACAATAAATAAAATAAAAATAAAATAAATAAATTTCATGAATTCTCGGTAATTTCATGAAAATGGTGAATAGCATGGAGGAAATTAGGATATTGTGAATTAGCATTTAAATTATGAAAGCAAGAAATCCAAGGCTAAGTGGCTGCTGTAAGAAGGTCTTCTCCTTTGTGGTCTCTGTGAATGCACACTAATGGGTTTATGTGCGCCTGAGCAGAGGAGTTTCGGAACCTTCTATAGCAGGGGTGTCCAACCTTTCACCAGCAGAGGAGTTTCGGAACCTATAGCAGGGGTGTCCAACCTTTCACCTTCCCTGGACCACATTAGAAGATGAACATTTGGTTTGGGCCGCACATACATTTGGTTTGGGCCACATGGGGAGGCAGCCCTAGCCGTCCTCCACAGCTCCCCTCCAAGCGCGCTTACCAGCAGCTGCAATCTCAGACAGCAGAGGCTGCCAGCTTCGACTCCGGCGGCTTTATGGGGCTGGGAGGGGGTCCACCTATTGACGGGGATGGTGCAATGCAGTCACGCAGCCCCCCTGTCCCCTCCCACTCCTTCCTTCCTTCCCTCTCTCCCCCTCTACTGTTGTGACATGCCCCGGCCACATTCCAGCCGCAAGTGCCGGCAGTGTAACTTGAAACTTTGGAATTTCTTTAAAAATAAAAAATTGCACTGGGCCACATTACAAGCTGACCTTGGGCCGCGAGTTGGACAAGCCTGTTCTATAGATTTAAGCACTTGGTGCCGGGACCTCCCACTTAGGCTATATCCCTGCCCCCGGCGGTGCCTCAGTTTCGTTTCCTGCCGCCGTGTTTGCAGCAACCTCAACCGGAGCTTAGTGTTTTTCTTTCTTTATCAACTTTTTATTGGACCTCTCAGTGTTGACCTTGGCTTGTTTCACTTTCCCACGGACTGGTGAGTTTATTTCTGCAAGCGTAAAACTGATTGAAAAGTTTATGGCCTCGTTGGGCCCGTTCAAACGTTGTTTGGCCTGCAACATGACTGACGGACACTTAAAGTGTCTTCTTTGTCTTGCCGAGGAGCACCAGCTTTTGTAATGTGTTTACCAAGCCTGCTCTGAAGCCAAGGCTTGAGAGACTTCGCTCTCACTTGTGGCAAAAATCTCTCAGCCCTTCCCAGTTGGAGATGGACCCGCCACGGGCTCCTCCTTCCGAAACTTCTTCAGTTACGGGGTGTTCTCCGCCTACCATTAAAAGAACATGAAGTTGACATCTTCGGGCTGAAGGTCGACAGCTTCCGTTTCAACCTCGAAACCTCCCTCAAGCTCGACATTGAAAAAGAAGAAAACCTCTTCTGTGTCGGCTTTACCGCAAGCCCTGCTTTTGCCGCCTGGGTTGACAATCCATACCCGCCAACAAACGGCGGAGCTTGGGCTTTTGGGAGATGAGCAAATGCCTCCCTAGGGGTCAGAATTACTTATCTCCCCCTGTTTAAGCCTCTCGCCTCGGTCTCCTCAGGGCTCGGTGGTGCTACAGTCGGAGACTCCAGGGCTTCCTCCTGCTTCTCCGGAACTGGCTTCTGCACCGCTGCAAAAGAAAAAAAAAAGACATATTGACCTCGAGTCTGATCAAGCTCAATCCTGTTCACTGAGAGGAGATCCCGCTGCTTACCAGGACTACCATTATCCCTCCTGGGATGATCCACACAGCTATTACAGGCCTAGAGGCTACGGTTTCGAAGGCTCTGGATTTCCGATGACTTTTGACCCGGCCACGTATTATGGACCTCGCCAATGGCTGCCCTTTTTCAAGCTGTTTCCACCTTGCTACCCGCCTTATCCTCAGGACTTTTTCCGCTGACCGGATGATCATTCTGCAGCCCAGGAGCAGCTTACTCGACCTTGAGCGACGGAGCAGCCATTGGCCTTGCCCGCTAGGGAGATTTCCTTCAGGTTCGACAACCGAACATCTCGTCTGCCTCCCTCTCCTACTATTTCCCTGCAGCCTTGTGAGGAGGATTTTCTCGACATCCTAGCACGCTCGGAGTCTGAGTTTGACTATCCTCGAGCCCGAACACCCGCTCGCTCCCCAGACCGAGATGTCAACATTGATTCAGATTCTTCCGCAGACAAGGGTGAAATTAGGGACAATTTGCCACTTGATCTTCCCACTCCAGCTTTGGATGTGGTTGGAAGCCACCCTCCCTCTCCATTGGAGGATTACACATCCTACACTCAACTGATAAAGCAGATTGCTGATGTCCTTGACTTTGCTGGAGTTCAACCACAGCCTGAGCAACTTGATAAAGTGTTTGAGGACATCACTAAAGATCAATTACCTCCACTCCACTTAGCTTTTATTCTATCCTTGCTAAGCTTGGTTAAGGAATCTTGGGAGAAGCCCTCTATGTCCCAACAAATTCCTCAAAGAGTGAAGAATCTCTACAAAATACACGGCGCTGGCACAGAGTTCCTCTCAAAGCATCCATTACCTGACTCTTTGGTGGTGTATGCTACACAGTCGTGAACCCACAGTAGGTCCACATCTGCGCCTACTGACAGGGAAGGCCGGAAGATGAACACCTTGGGGAGAAGGCGGTATACCTTCGTCCTTCGGGTAGCCAATTACCTAGCAGCCATGGGTGCCTATCACCAGCACCTTTGGAATGCAGTCCTGCCAGTCCTGCATGCTGCCCCCGAGGATATCAAAATACTTGTCTGGCTCACCATCAGGAGGCCATGTCTTTGGCTCGCCAAGAAAGAATTGCGGCTAGGCATGTGGTGGATGCGGCCTCTAGGCAGGTGGCCACATCGATTGCCATCCGCCAGCGTGCTTGGCTGCGTTCAGTGAGTATATCCAAGGACGTGAAGACAAGAATCGAGGCTCTTCCCTTTGACGGTCTTGGCCTTTTTGATCCCAAAACAGATGAGACCCTGGAGAGGCTATTGAAACACCGAAAGACTGCAAGATCTTATACCTCACAGTCACTGTCTTGTGCGTCTTGGCGCCAACCCTTTTCTTCCAGGCCTTATTTCAACCGTTCAAGTCACAACAGTCTGGCTTTCAAGGTCAGCCCCGACAGCAATCCGGTAGACAGAGGCCACGTAATCAGGCCCATTGAGAAGACCAAAAAACCAGCAGCCTCTTTAATATTGTACAGCCACCAGCACCACTCCCTGGCTTGATTACACTAGCCCAATTTTTTCATATCTGGAGGACTATCACCTCCGACTCCTGGGTTCTCACTATTATTGCTACAGGTTATGCGATTGAGTTTTCTTTTACACCTTGCACAGGTTTCCTCAGAAACACAACTGCTTCCTCTATTCCTCGTCAAGAGATTGACAAATTACTCTCTAAGGATGCTATTACCATATTTTTCGCTCTATAAGAGGCACCTTTCCATAAGACGCACCAAATTTTTAGGAGAAGAAAACAGGAAAAAAAAATAATCTGTTTTCTTCTCCTAAAATTTGGTGAGCCTTATGGAGAGGTCCATCTTATGGAACACACCCTAGGACCCTAGGGTGTGTTCCAGGACCCTTTGGAGACTCCCCCTGCCCCCCCCCCAGGGGCCAGAAGGGGTGAAATCGCCACCTTCTGGGACTCTTCTGAAGCTTCCCAAGCCTCAGAAGAGCCCCAGAAGGTGGCAATTTCACCCCCTCTAGCCTCCGGAGGGGGCAGGGTGAATCTCCAAAGGGTCCTAGGGTATGTTCCAGGACCCTTTGAAGACTCCCCCTGCCTCCCCCTGGGGCCAGAGGGGGCGAAATAACCACCTTCTGGGGCTCTTCTGAAGCTTCCCAAGCCACAGAAGAGCCCCAGAAGGTGGCTATTTTGCCCCCTCTGGCGCCGTGGGGCGGTGGGGGGAGCGTCACAAGGGTCCCAGTGAGCCTTCCAGGACACTTGTGACGCTCTCCCCACCCCCACGGCAGCTTCCAGGACCTTTTGTGAGGCTTGAAAGTCTCAGAAAAGGTCCTGGAAGGTCACGATTTCACCCCCGCTGGCCCTGTGGGGGGTGGGGGGAGCTTCGCAAGGGTCCTAGTGAGCCTTATTTTTGATTGTCCCATCATAGAGTTTCTGAGATACAGGTATTCAGAAGGGTTTACTATTGCTATGTTATGTGAAGTACTAGTAAAAGTTAGCTTGAGTGTTACTGTTGTCATCTGTGAAAAGTCCTCTACTAGTGACACTTTCCACTATTGCCAGTGCCCAGTAGCTGCCATTCAGGAAATTTCTCTGCCTCCATCACCATTGGAATGATCTGTTCTCTTTGTTGATTCAGCCATCAGTCCTAGAGAGGATCCATGCATCTTAGTCTGGTGTCTCAGCTTTGATCATTGGGTGATCCTGCTAGAAGTCCAGACTCATAATGGAGTTATAATGGTTTTGTTCTCAGCTTTGCTGACACCTCAGTCTCTCTATCATCTTAAGCTGTTTAGCCAGAAGGAGGATAACATTCTGTGAACTGGAGAACTGCTGTTCATTTAAATTGTGTTGTAATATGCTAAATTGTGTTTTGTTCTGTATGCCGTTACAGGCTAGACAGAGGGTATTACCAATTGTTGATGTTGTGGACAGTTTTACAAGAAGGAAGTCTGACAGGTTTAAAAATGGCAGGTTTACAGGTAGCCCATAGTATGCAATTTCAGAACTGAGGCAAATGTATCTAACTATGGGTGAAAATTTCTGCTTCACCCTTTTGTGGATTTAGGAATGGCTTGTAAATGATGCTTAGTCCTGCTTCTCAAATTATGCTCCTTTCCACTGTATTTAGTGAAACATGATTTTTAAGGAATAAGTTACAAAAGAGTTTCTGCTTTAAATTTTCAGGTACCCTTTTACAGAGGAGAGAGGATTACATTTGATGTTGCTCCATCTAGATTGGATTTCACAGTAGAGCATGACAGTTTGAAAATTGAGGTAAGCCCTCTTTTGGACTTATTTTGTTTCTTATTTTTGGTAGTATTTACATTATTATTCTCCTGTTCCTCCAATGAACTCAAGGTGGCATACATGGCTCTCCTTATCCCTTGATACTCACAGGAACACTGGCTGTTGGGTCGAGCTGAGAAGGAATTTAGTTTGGATATGTTTTGAAACACATCTTTTAAGAAATGAAAGCAGGTTTACTTTCTAAATTGGAAGAGATTGGAAGAGGAAGAATAAAAGGCATAGATTGATGGATTGAATCCTGACTATTCAGCATTGTTCCTTTATCTGCTTTTTTCCAGCCTATCTTCCATGTCATGGGCTTCTCAGTCACTGGTCGGGTTTTAAACAGTCCTGAAGGCGAAGGGGTTGCTGATGCTCTGGTGATGCTGAACAGCCAGATTAAAGGTACACTGGGTGGCGGTCATTTTGCTCTGGGTTTTGTCAAAGGATTTTAAAAGTTGGAACTTCCTCATGTCATAAGTTAAAATGATGGAATCCTAGAATAGGCCTGGACTGCTGAGTACAGTCCTCTCTAGGACGGATGGTTGAATCAACAAAGAGAACAGATAATTCCAATGGTGATGGAGGCAGAGAAAGAACAAGGCCTGCTTGATCGTGAGGTAAGTGGGAGGCCCTAACCTGAGGCGAGGAACACGGGGTAACAGTACAAGTACCCTCCGTGGTTGCTGCTAGGAGCTCTCTCTGTGGATTGTATGCAGGACCCAAGTTAGTGGTTAGCTGGATGACTCCCCTCTTTCTTTTCGTTCTTTTTCCTCTCACCTGTGTTACCCTGCCATTTTTCTTTCCCCCAATGTCCTGTCATTTCTCTTCCAGAAAGAGAGGCAGCCCTCATCTCACTTCCTTTTTCCGATGCCCTTTTCTTTCTCGCCCTCTTTTTTTTTATTTCTCCTGTCTCTGCAACCCCTTCTCATTCTTATGCATCCCCTGACATCTCTCCCGCTCTCTCTTCCTCCTCTCTGTCCAGTAAATTGCCACGTATTTTGTGGGTTGTGGCTTTGAAAGAGACCTGCCCTCCCGAGGTCCCGAAAACAAGCCAGTCTGCATAGTGGGTTGACGGGGGAGCCTTCGAGCCAAGACCAACAGGTGATATGTAATGAGGAAGGTTAACAGGGGAGGGGAATGTACTGGGGATGTGCAGTGAAGAAGCACCTGGGTGTACATGTGTTTAACCTTGCCACCCCTGCCTCTTGGTTGCTGCAGTTCCCTCTTTGTAGCTCATTGCAGCTTCAGTCCAGGAGAAGCCTTGGAGGGCAGGGGAACCCCAGAGGGGAAGGGTGCCTCCCTTCTGTACTGCGGGTTTCACACATGCAGGGAGGCTTCTCTCTAACTTGCTGGGATTTTAAAGGCAGCCTGTGGGTGCATGTTGTGACGACCAAATCTCCCTAAGGAGAATATGGCATTTGGACAGGGAGCCACTTTGGACACAAAGCTATCTCTTTGTCCTGAGGTAAGTCCTCAAGCCTCAGTAGAACATAGCATTTGTACCGTGGACAGACTGGACCATTAAAGAACACTTCACTTTAGATCGTACTTTAAAAGTACATAAACATGGGCTTCGTGATTCCTCAGAACTCACAACTCAGTCAGGTAGGACTTCTCCATGGTAGCTAGTTATTGACCTTTTCCTCCCCTCTGGATTTAGTCTAACCTTGCTGGTTCAAGAGACCAGTTGTGATCAGGTTCTTCAAAAATTGGTGACAGTTCCCTCATTTTGGCGGAAATAAGAGGCGGAGATGATTTTGAAAGTCCAACTGGTTCAATTTTATTAACATCAACTTCTGCATTAACCAAATTAAACGGATCAAAACAGCTCAATTATGGAATCGTCTTGTAACTTAAGATCTTGGCTCCTGACGTAAATATGTCACTCCTTACACTGAGGCTGGACGAAAGCGCTCGCGGTTGGTTGTCACCCTCAAAGGGGTGCTCCTTACTGCACATACTGTCCCACACCAAGGATGTCTCACCCAATCCCCTTCAACTGGTGGATTGTTGTAAGAGGGACTGGGACAGATCACTTTCCTCCCCACCACCCTGGTTGCGGGGGAAACCACCACCGTCCATTCTAGTGGTCTTACACCCTTCCCTTCTCTTCTAGGCAAGCTTGGATCTGGGAGTAATCCTCCTGTCTCAAGTTTGGGGAAATCCTTCAATAAGTCACAGACCTTGTCAGGTGTCTCATCATTCCTTTCTGTTTGTACCGCGCTATCTTTGGTGCTTTTCTCTGTCTTGTCTGTTTCCAGATCTCTAAATTCCTGCGCGTCGCCTCACTCTTATAACCTCTTCCCACACTATCAGATCTTGCTCCTCCCCTTGGTCCTCCTTCTCGTCCTCCACCAAGCACACTTCTACCGCTTTCCTTCACTCCTTCCTCTTCTATTTCTATTAGCACACCCTCTGCGCATCCCCACGCCTCCTCCTGTACATTCTTTGTTGAGGACGGCTCACTAGCCTCCTGTCCTTCACACCAGTCCTCAATGAGTTTTTATAATTATTTTTATTAAGAAAATAAAGATTAATAGAAGCAATATTTTTGCAAAAGCAGTATCATAATAACATGTCCAAAGATTACAATAGTTAAATAAAGCTGTTGTTTCTTATTGGAATACGAAACACTATATCTCTAAGCTATGGTGGGCTATTCCCACCCCTCCCCATTCTACATTCTGTAAACATTTCTCAATCCATCAGGAATTCCTACCAGTTTGGCATAAGCCAAGAGAAGCTCTGTAACACCTCCTCTCCTCCATCTTTTCTACATTCCTTGGACCTCCTCCTTTGTAGCTGTAAACCAAAGAGGCGTAACACCACTCCCCATCCCCAATTCCCATGATGGGGCCAGGTGTTGTTTATCTTCTCTCAATTAAGGTGGTGTGCATGTTTGGTCTTCTGGGCCTCTGGCTTCCCCCTTCACTCTTATCAGCATTCTCCCTGTACCAGCCTAGCTGTAAATTAGGAAAAACAGTCTCACGGCCCTTACTACATTCCAATGCCTTCCAATCATTTCACTTTGAACCTAAGAGACTCCATTTTCTTCAGACTACAAATCCCACTCTCCTTCAATACCATCACACATGTAATGTGACCTGAAGCTGGGACACAGGGTGCTGCAGTCCACACAACAAAAAAGGGTTGTGAAGTGGTGGACTCATCAGACTGGCAACCCCATTCTCTTTCCCCTGCATCTGCACAGCCTGGATGCTGGATTCAGCTTTGCTCCAGCACTTCCTGGCATTCATGAGTTTCTTCCCGGTCATTCTTCATGAGCTGCAGAAAATGAGGGGGGGGGAATGTTTGCCTGTTCTCGCTGTGACCAGGACTGATGGTGACTGATGGTCCTCCTGTTTGCTGTTGTGCAATACCTGCTGGGAGGGCGGCAGCAGCTATCTGGCTAAGACCAAGAAGCGAGCATGCAGTGGGGGCTGGAGGTGGGAAGTGGTAGGGGGATAGCCAAACGGCCCTTGGGCTGTTTCTCCGCCAGCTCTGTGGAACATAAATTCTCTGGATAAAAGCTTACAGAACCCCACCCCATCTATTTTTACCTATTGTTTTTTATATTTTCCTATTGATGCAGTGCTGTTCTAGATAAATGAGAGACATATGTGTGTCCCATGCTAGGTGGGGGCTTTGCTGTTGCACTGAGTCACAAGGGCAAGTCACCACATCTCATTGAATGACAGCTGTGGGAAAGGGAGTGGGAAGGGCAGCCTCATTAATTGAAAGGGGAACAAATTGGACTGATCCAAAGACCTGTCTGGATCCTTCTCATGGGAGAAGAAATGTCACTCAGTGCAAACAGAAGGATTGCTGAAGTGAGGATTAAAAAAGATTCCATTAAATATTAGAACCTTTCAAGTGCAAACCAGACCATTCCAACTTTCTCTGTCTGGATGTGCCTCAGTCTTCCTGGAGGTTTGAACTGATTGCTCACTAGGAGTGTCTGCAGTGAGATTGAGGGACTCCTGCCATTGGAGAGCACAGGTAACCCAACATGTTATGCAAAAACCTTTCACTTCAGACAGGCTTTCCCTTAGTGACTGTCTGTCTGAGAGAGATTTTTTAAATTGGATTGTTGTGCCTTTTTGCTTTTAAATATGTTTTTAATATTTAGGTTTTATTTGCCATTTTTTAATATAATAATTTGTTTTGTTCTATTTAATATTTGTATAGTTAATATTTTTAAGTGTTTAAGTATTGTCTGTTTAATGATGCATGCTATTTTGGGTCCTTTTTAAGGAGAAAGGCAGTGAAGGAATGAAGGCCTGCCTGCCTGGTTTGTCTAGCGCCCTCTCAAGGTCCTTTGTTGTCACCATGATAAGTCAAAGCAGTGATTGTTAACTAGGCATGTTAGGAAGGCCAGAAGATTCTTCTTGGCGGTGCAAGAGCTGTAAAGTGTGTTGTACCTCAAAATTTTCTTGCTGAGAAGGTGGATGGGCCACAGTAATGTTCATAAAGGTTAGGATGGCAACATGTTTGTGCTCTTGCAGCATACTACCATCCCCATCCCCATACATACCCATTTCCAGGGTTATCCTTATTGTTAAGAAATTAAGCTCCTGAAACCCTGTGTTGTTACAACCTTGTGTAACACTGTGTTGTTACACAGTGCTTGCTCTGTGTATACCATCATGTAGGTTATGTTTCTTACACTCACTTTGCTCTCCCCTCTCTTTTTGTTGCAGTTACCACAAAGCCTGATGGTTCTTTCCGCCTTGAAAATATCACCACTGGCACATACACCATTCAAGCACAGAAGGAACATCTGTTCTTTGACACCATTACAGTGAAAATTGCCCCAAATACTCCCCAGCTGGCTGACATAATAGCAACAGAGTGAGTGTCTTTTGAGCTGTGTTTTTACTGTTAGGTAAGGAAGGTGCCTTACACATGTTCACTTAGGCCAGTGCTGTATGGACTTCCTGGCAATAGTTTGCCAGAGTTTTGCCAAATTTAATTCAGAGTGCTTTCCAACTGCTGTCTGCTGTTTTATACTGGAGATGCCAGGCCTCTTCTGCATTTAAAGTACCAGTCCCTGCTGCAGGTTGTAGAGGAACTTCGAGGATGGCACCTTCTCTCTTAGAAAAAGCTTTTGTCCTCATTAGTGTTGTGGCCTACTGCTATGACTTGTTCCTCTTCCTCATCGTTGCTGCTGCCTGCTCGCTTATCAGGTTGGCAGAGAGCTAGTGAGCCTTCTGGCAGTGGTATCCCTTGCTCCTTCACATCATCATGGTTGTTTGGCCCAGAACAAGAGGCAGTTGAACGAGCTGGTTTTTGATGGTGAATTGAGGTACGTGCCTGAGATTCCTGCCAGCAGGTCCTTGCTGATGTGTTGATCCTCGGCAGCTACCCAACCATACAGGCTCTCACTGTCCATCATGCAGATTTGGTATTTCTGCCACCAAGCTCTGGTGGCAATCCGGTGCAATTGTCCTAAGAGATATGATTCGTTCTTGGAAACTGAAGTTTTGTGCACAGCAAGTCTGCTTTGCTGTACAGTAGAAAACCCTTCAGTTTGTATCCTACTTGTCCATAAGGTGAGATGCCTCTGTGACAGCTGGGGCCTATGAAAGGTGTGTCTAATCAGTTTTTAAAATAATTGTACTGCCTCTCTTTGGGGAAAAATCATTTAAATAATAAGCATGTTGAGGAGACTTCTGAGGGGAAATTCCCTGTGTAAGGATCTCTGGTGGGTGGGTATTGGGGAATGTGAGACCCTTTCCCTGAAACAGATACCAGGAATTGGGAAAACATCACATCCAGAACTGGCCTTTCCACACACAGGCTGCAATGTATGTCCTAGCTGCAGATTTAGCCAACTCAGTGTGAGCTGTGGGATGGATGGGGCAGCTGTGTGGGAACAGATGTTAATGCATGTAACTCTGCATGTGAATGTCTCACTCTTTCTGTCCTTTTCCCCCCAAAATAGGTTCAGTGTCTGTGGACAGATACTGGTAACCCGCTTTCCTGAATCAGTCAAGCAGACCAACAAATACAAGGTAACCCTCTGGCCTCAGGAGAGGGATAAAGCAGTCTTGGTTACTACAGAGACTGACACCCGTGGGGCGTTCTGCTTCAAGGCCAAGTCAGGTGCCTATGTCATCCAGGTAGGCATACTGTGGTGTGTCATATATCTATATATGAGTATGTGTTATACTAGCAAAAGCAGCGTGAGCCTTGTATGCCCGAGATATTTGTATATAGGCAGTGCAGAAGCTGTCTTCTCAGTGCTGCATAAGAACCGTATATTCATGTCCAATTACCCACCATTTTTGCGGCATGTTTTTCTTCTAATTGGCTGATTTAAATATTCATTCTTTCATTTTATTCCTCTATACCTGGCCTTTCTCCTGATAAAGGGACCTTTCAAAAGTTGTACAACACAAAGGTGGTTTAAAATACAATCACCAGGATTTTACTAATTGCACCCACCAGTTGGCATAATTCTCACTGGCAAATTACTGCATGTTAAGAGGTTAGCACAGGCATTTGCTATTGTGTGCAACTATGGGGATTCTTAATGTGCAACTGTTTGCCAACAAGATTTATGCTAATTGCATTACACTGGTATTAAAAACTCGGTAGGATTTGGCTGTTAAATGATAACATTCAAAAACATTAAACATTGGACAAATTTAAAAACATCCCCTCTTCATACCCCTTCCTTAATGGCTAGTCACTTGCCCAAAGCTGTTTGAACAGAAAGGTCTTAGCCTGCTGGCAGAAGGACATAAAGGGGTTAGCCTGGCCTTCCTTGAGAAGGCGTTGCCCTGCTTGGGAGCAGTGACTGAAAAGGCCTTCTCCCTCCCCCCCCGGCTTACCTGTTGTGTGCTGGGGCAGAGAGAGTGAGGGCTCCCTCAAATATCTTAAAACCTAAGGAGCCTCATGTGGGGAGAGGTAGTTCTTCAGAGAAACTGAACACCAATTAAACCTCTGTTGGCTTCAAAACTTTATTCAGAGCCAACCTTCATATTCCCATTTGAAATACTGATGGACAGAAGGATAAAATAGAAAAATACAAAGGAAACAGTAGTGCAGTAGAATAACTTTGAAAAGGGCTGGATGAGGACACTCATAAATCTAGAAAAGGAGAGGAAGAATTGTACCATTGTCCAGATAGGTTGCTTCCTTGTTTTGTATCAAATATGTTCTTGGCGCCATTCCTCTTGTAGGCTATTGTTCCTGAGGCAGAAGCCAGAGCAGGTCTTGCTTTGAAGCCCAAAACATTTCCTGTGACTGTAGCCTCCAAGCCAGTGCTCGATGTGATGTTTTCCCAATTCCTGGCCTCTGTTTCAGGGAAAATCACCTGCTTGGGTAAGACTTTTACAGATTTGTGAAGTAGGTATGTTTATGTTGTGGCTAGTTTGAAAATACTGGTATCACAGTCTCTTGCCAGTTGCTGACTCCCAAGAATCAACTCCTTCCTTAGGATTAGAAATGTTGGTAGCTGTGTCCCTACCGCTTAAGGCCTGATGCCAAGCCTAGATCACTAGTTCACCTCACTCCAGGTTCTTCCCATGGCTCTCCTTGGTTTCCTGTGGCACTCTACTCCAGCCCTGTGGGTGAGGATGGAACATTAGGGTGCAGACATGACATTGAGCTGCAGCCTTTGCTCTGTAATTACTTACCAAAATTTTAATGAGTAACAATGTATTTATTTGTTTAAAATAATTTCAGTGCTGCCTGGTCTCCTGAGAGCTATTCATAAAATTAATACAGTGGTGCCTCGCAAGACGAATTTAAGCGGTTAATGTTGTCTTGCGAAAAATTTGTCTTGCGAAACACGTTTTCCCGTAGGAATGCATTGAAATCTAATTAATGCGTTCCTATGGGCAAAAAAAGTCAGAACAAAGTCAAATTTGGGTTATTAAGTGCTCTTTAAAGCCATATATATTGTGTAGATTATTTAAAAAATTTCAATAAAAGAACTAACTTTTTAAACATCATAGAAAAACATTTTAAAAATCAGCAAACATGAGGCAGGAACAAAAAACGTAAAACATTCTTCTTGCAAAGCACGGCCATAGGAACATTTGTCTTGTGAGTCATCAACCCCATTGCCAAAACCATTTGTCTTGTGAGTTTTTTGTCTTGCAAGGCACCACTGTATTTAAAACAAATTTCAATGAATTAAATCACTACAAATCATTTAGAACAGTTAGATCATAAAAATCTATGTTATGAAGAACAGCCTACATTCAGTTAAATGAAATGCGGAGCAACCAGATCTTTAGGGAAGGAGTCATGCACATATCCCATTCTAGGACGTCCCATGAAGGTAGGGCCAACTGAACAGACATTAGGAGCAGCCATCTCAGGTGGTCCTTCTTTTTTCATACTTTGGGTTCATATTGTCACAGTCTCAAAGATGGCTTAAGAGTCAGTGCACTGGCTTGATATGATGTAATAGATGAAATTTGCTTCCTTGGATGTACTTGATAGTGATCAGTTTGGACACCATTTATAGGGGATTGAAAAAGTTCAAGGCGCATGAGGGTATCACAGGCTGTAAGCCATGTATTCCCTCCTGTAAATAAAAAACAGAAGCAGCAGGCGGTGTGTTTGTTGCTAGGAAGAACAGATCGAAAGATGTTATTGAGACCATGTCATCCTTGTGGGCCTCCCTTAGGATTTTTGGGGGGGATCTGGGAGAACGGAATGTTGGACTGGAGAGTTTTTTTTTGGTATGATGCAGAAGGACTTGCTTTATGATCGTAACACCCACCCCAGTTAGGAATCGGTTAGTAATCCAGTTACAAATCCTGTGATAAACTCCTCCATCTTGATGGCAAATGACACATAGAGTTACAGTAGTCCTGGTGAGATGTAGCTAATGGTTGAGATGAACTTCATGCAAAAAGAGTGTAAAGTGTGAAATCTGAATATGGTTTGCAAACATACATGTTCTTACGGGTAAGATTGATAAGAGCTCTCTGACTTGGGATCTACAACTTCTTGCTGAATGTAAACTTGGTGGCAGACTTGGGTTTATTTTAGTGTTACATGCAAGGTCACCCAAAGTTGTTCTTCAGCAAGGACCCTCTCCTTAGAAGGCTAAGGGGACCTTAGTTGTAGAGGGATAGTAGATCCCCGCAAAGGCCTCTGGAATATACCAAATCCGTTTTACTGATCTGAAGTAAGCTCACTCACCACTCCGTCTCTCTCTCTCTCTCTCTCTTTGTATGTTTTCTTCAGATGCTTGTGGTGAATTGTCTGTCACTCTTCAGTCTGTGACACGTCAGGGTGAAAAACGCAGCCTCCAACTTGCATCGAAATCCAACTCATTGACTTTCATTTTTGAAAATGTGCTTCCAGGCAAATACAAAAGTGAGGATTCTGCAAAGCTTCATTTTTTAAAATTGCATGGCCCCTGCTACTAACCACTGAGGTCCATTTCTGCTTTATTATTATCTTTCCCTTCATCTTCTCCTTCAAGATTGGTGAGGTTATGGGTCAAACTGTTAGTTAATATTTTGTTTTTTCATTTAAAAAATTCCAATTAACATAAGGATCTGGTTCAAGCATCAGTGTGGTTTACTGGTTAGAATGGAGGACTGGGTCTTGGGAGATGCAGGTTCTAGTTGCCAGTGAGCAACCTGCATCTGGTTTACTTCAAACCACTTCATTCCAGCATGACTTACCTCACCAACTTGTGATAATAAAGCAGGGAGGATGAGAGCTGTTTCATAGAATCATGGAATAATGGAGTTGGAAGGGGCCTTTAAGGCCATTGAGTGCACCCCCCTGCTCAGTGCATGAATCCAAATCACAGCACATAATGACAGATGATTGTCCAGTTTTCTCTGGAATTCTTCCAGCATTGGAGTGCTCACTATCTCCCAGTGTAATTGTTTCCATTGTTGTACTGCTTTTAGCAGTTAAGTTTTTATTGATTTTCAGCTTCTAGGTTCTTGTAGCTTAAGCCCATTAGTACATGTCATGCACTCTGAGGTGATCAAGAACAGATCCTTCCCCTCCTCCGTATGACTGCTTTTCAAATATTTGAAAAATGCTGTTGTCTTTTCTGAAGGCTAAAGATGTTCAGTTCTTTTAGTGTTTCATCGTCGGGCCTGGTTTTCAGTCCCCTAATCATTCTTGTTTACTCATTGCACTCATTATAGAAAGAACTGAATATGGATATAAACAACAAAGTGAAGTGTTAACAACAGAACTGGTATGAGCCACAAGCAGAATCACACAGCTGTAAGACAATTGTCAATAAAACAGCAGTAATTCTTGTTTTTATTAATTATTGTATCTGAGAGTGTGGCCCAGGGGCTTAAATTTTTCTGACCAGATGCTGCACAAGCTGCCCTGGAGAAAGTTATTCCATGATCATATCTAAGGAGAAACTAGAAGAAAAAGACAGGTGGTACATAAGCCAAAAGGGTGACTTGAGTGTTGTTGGTAATGACTAGGGTCCTAGACAATAAAATGATTTGCCAGAAGTACCATGCAGGACTGGCCCAAGTCAGAGGTAAAGGACAAGATGGAGCCCCTTCCTCAGTCAATGTGCAGAAGCTGGCTGGCTTGTTATTGAATATTAGCAATGGGAGTCTCCTCTACCCCACCTGAAGGTCTGATGTGTCTTGCTCTTTCTCTCCAGCAGTGGAGAATGGCCTTGAGGAACAACTGAGTGGCTACCATTGCTGCTACCCAGCATATGCTTGCAGAATGAGTTGCTTTCGTCACTGGTTCTGCCCTCCTTTGAGCATCTGAGTCATTTTGTATGCAACATCCCTAATTTGTCTTTTTAGTGAGTATTATCCGCGAAGACTGGTGCTGGAGGAATAAATCTTTGGAACTTGAGGTTTTGGAAGAAGATGTCTCTGGGGCTGAGTTTCGCCAAACAGGATATATGCTGCGATGCTCTCTTTCCCATGCCATCACTTTGGTAAGTATCAGCTCATGGTGTATGTATTTTCCCTTGTGGTCTGCTTGAATCCTAAATAATGGAATCATAGAATTGCAATTTGGAAGGAACCACAGCTGGTAAAAGTAATCCTTTGGACTTAACTCCCGGAATTGCCTAGTTAGCACAGGCAGCATGACCACACTCCCATGGACCGCAGCAGTAGAGCTCTCTAGGAGAGAATTAAATGTTGTGGGTCCCAGCCGCAGGGAGGAAATGTTTACAGATCTTTACAAATATGTAGGAAGGACCCCCTATAGCCCAAGACCCTGTCCAAACCAGTTTGCCCTAGATGATCCAATGGTTCAAAGGATGCCTATAAAAATACTGTATTTGATGCTCCCCATATTTTACAACCAGTACACAATTAATTATCTGTTATACACTTTTTTAATTGCATTTTGTATATTTTAACCATATAATATATTTTATGAACTGGCTGTACATTTTTAAACTGCATTTTGTATATTTTAGCCACATAATATGTTTTATGAATTGGTTGTTTATTTTTAAACTGCATTTTGTATATTTTAGCCATAAATATATTTTATGAGCTGGTCACCCGACCGTAATAAATAAATTCATTCTAGAAGAGAACTCTTAAGTGACCATTAAGCTCAGAATTTCTTAGGGTGGACCCACGTCACTTAAAATGATATCAGGGTCTGTAACTGTATAGTGTAGAGATAATTTTGGTTCCAGAGCATCATCCTATCACTTTAATTTTTTCTTCTTCCAAATTCTGCCTCTGAATGTAAGATTCCACTCCTATGAGCTGCAGCCAGCCTGATCAGTGGTCAGGGATGACGGGAGGTAAATAGTCATAAGGAGACATCACTTAAGAGGGGCATCGGTTGCCCTTCTCTGAAACACAGCTATCAGATTTTAAATGGTATTATATCAGATTAAATTAAAATACTTTGAAATGCTGCTCTGGTAGCTGGCTGGATAGCTCAGTGAGTTAGGTATCTGGCTGTGGAGCCAGAGGTGGGACTTCAGTTCCTCACTGTGCCTCCAGGGAAAAGAGTCAGCCTTGGGCAACCCACACAGTCCTCTAGAGCACTGGTTCTTAACCTTGGGTTACTCAGGTGTTTTTGGACTGCAACTCCCAGAAGCCTTCACCAACAGCTGTCCTGACTGGGGTTTCTGGGAGTTGCAGTTCAAAAGCATCCGAGTAACAAAGGTTAAGAACCACTGCTCTAGAGGAAGAGTACCCTGAATACTCTCTACCTAAAAAACCTTGCAAAGGGTTGCCGTAAGTCAGGATTGAAATGGATGTGCCTCAGACGTTGATTGTCCTGATGCATAACCTGTATTATGGACAAGAAGGTACTATTAGGACAAAATATGAAGAGAGAGAATGGCTTCCTATGAGCAGACATGTCAGACAAGGATTCATATTGGTCCCTTATCTGTTCATTCTGTACATAGAACATATATGGAAAGCTAGAGTAGATGCTGTACGAATCTGAAAGTTGGATGATTTCTTTGCAACATGGTGTTGGAGGAGAGCTTTGCAGATTCCCTGGACTACCAGAGAAATCGGTATGTGGGTCATAGAGCAGATCCATCCTGAACTATCTCTGGAGACAAAAACATTGAAACTGAGGCTGTCTGACTTTGGGCAGATCATGAGAAGGCAAGGTTTTCTGGAAAAGACAATAATGCTGGGAAAGGTGGAAGGCGGCAGGAAAAGAGGAAGACCAAATGTGAGATGGACTGACTCCCTAAAAGAGGTCATGGGCTTGAGTCTGGAAGAGCTAGGCAGGGTAGCTGAGGACATGACATTTTGGAGGTCGCTCATTCATAGGGTCTCCATAGGTCAAAAGTGACTTGATAGCATGTAGCACCAACAAAGTAGAACTAGGAATTGCTGGAAGCCTTTAGCCATTCTCTTGAATTGTCCCACATAAACACTTCTTCCAAGAGCATGTGTTGTTACCTGCTTGTTTTTTTTCCCCTTGTGTTTGCATTCTTCGGTCTTCAGGAGTTCTATCAGGATGGAAATGGTCCAGAAAATGTTGGAATTTACAATCTATCCAAAGGAGTGAACAGATTCTGTCTCTCAAAGCCTGGTAAGTGTCGTTAGATATTTGCCTCTACATGTGTAAGAATGTCTGTGTGTATTTGAGAGAGGGATTGATATGTTTCATGTAGAGATGAAGAGTTTATTTTATTTTATTTTATTTATTGTATTTATACCCCGCCTAGTTTAGATAAACCATTTGTTTATCTATATGTTAACAATATGGCAGATGAACAATATTGAGTCGTGATTAGAAGCAAGAGAGCAAGACAGGATTAGCCACATTAAAAAGTGGCTCAAATCTTGCAGTAGTTACTTTTTCATGTTATAATTTTGTTAGTTCCTGGTGTAGCACTTGATAGCACTGGAGATGCCTTCCACTCTGAGTGATAGTTGGCTTAGTGAAAAAGGAGTGAGATGAGCTTGGGTAGGGGAGAAGTCAAAGAGGAGAGCTTCATAATCCCCCCCCCTTCTTCTCAAAGAAAACAGAAGAAAAGGCTTAATTTCAGGCATCCTAACAATTGTGTGGATTCAGCCCAAGTAAGCTGAAATTTGGTCTGATATTCAAATTGATTAACCGTAGGTTATCATTAAGTAGAAAACCATAATAATAATGGTTCAAACCACAATTTGTTCTAAGTATGGTTTCTTGTGATGTTTTACGTTGGCATGGGTATTAGTTAATTCCTAGCTGTGTTCCTTCATGGATTGCTGCCTTCTCGTGGCGAAGGGGCTTGAGTAACTTAGAGAAGCTTTGGGCTATGCCGTGCAGGGACACCCAAGACAGACAGGACATAGTGGAGAGTTCTGACTAAACACAATCCACCTGGAGTAGGAATTGGCAATGCCACTCCAGTATCTTTGCCAAGAATGCCCCATGATCAGAAACAAAAGGCTAAGAGATATGATGCTGGAAGATGGGCCCCTCAGGTTGGAAGGCGTCCAACATGCTACTGAGAAAGAGCAGAGGACAAGTACAAGTAGCTCCAGAGCTGATGAAGTGGCTGGGCCAAAGCTGAAAGGACGCTCAGCTGTGGATGTGCCTGGAAGTGAAAGGAAAGTCCGATGCTGCAAAGAAAAATACTGCATAGGAGCCTGGAATGTAAGATCTATGAACC